CCCCATATTGCTTTCCATAATGGTTGAACTAGCTTACATTCCCACCAGCAGTGTAGGAGGGTTCCCCTTTCTCCACATCCTCGCCAGCATTTGTTGTTCTTAGTCTTTTCAATGCTGGCCATCCTTACTGGTGTGAGGTGATATCTCATTGTGTTTTTTATTTGCATTTCCCTGATAATTAGTGATGTGGAGCATCTTTTCATGTGCCTGTTAATAACCCATAACATTTTTTTTTTATGGCCATCTTATCTTTATTTGATACCTCAGGCTCACTTGATGAAGGTGGGCCTTGGCAGTCACCCACATCTAGTCACAATGCACTACCCTCTCCCCAGATGTCCCTTTGTATATCTTCAGTATAACGCTTGTGTTCGATTTGCTTTGAAGGATGCGCAGTCTGAAACTGCTTCAGTTCATTGACTTAGACTTTTCTGTCACTTTCTCTCTCTTGGACTTGCTGCCAGTAAACAAATATGACATATACATCAGAAACTTTGGGAAAAAGAATACCGAGCAGGTCAGTACGAGGTGTGCTGAGTAAGTGACAGAAATGCAAATGAAGTACAATAAGGCGAACTCGTGCAGCCCATCATCCTGTGCGGGAATCCTGGGGCTTGGGAGTGGCGCAGAGGGTGTCGCCTTGGGGAAGGGTCCCCTTTCTCACTGGTGCTTGTGAGCCCAGAGAGGCGACCCCGTGTCCGCAGGCACCCCGCCCTGTCCCTCGGCGTCCATGGCCTGTGCTCCAGGTGAGTTGTTCCCTAGTGACTTACACTGAATTCACCTAGTCCAGAGTTGCTCTGATCCATCCCCCAGAATTTTTTGCTTCTCTGTGGTCCACCTTCCAATCAGACTGTGAAGGTTTGAAGTCAGAGGTCCACCCTCACCTCCTCATTATGCTCCCGATAGTGCCACCAACCAGCTTGCTCTCTGGGCACAGTCGGTGGGAAGGTCACAGGATGAAAAAGCTGATAGACGAACCCTTGTTTTGCAGCTGGCTCACTCTGATCTTGAGTAGATGGTGTAACTTCTTTGCTGGTTTCCTCATTTCAAAGCTATTAGTAACAAAACTCTTTACTGAAGCATCTTCCTTCTTGAAATAAAATTGCAATTGGTTTTGCAAAGCCAAAATGTTCAAGAGAATAGGATGAAGGTGGTCAGGGTGGCGGGATTTTCAAACCCAAGCTAAATCGCTTGGTGTGCCACTTTGAAAGCACCTTGAAAACAAGAACTGTTTGCATTGACATCTGTGGCACAGGCTGTGTTCCCATGAATGTCACTCATGCCACAGCACATCCGCTCGGCAGAGGCCTGAGGCTGCCGCTGCCAACTTTAAAGTTGAGATCATTTTCTTTTCCGTGATGAGAAATGGCTCTGGCGGTGAGACCCGCTGCTAAGTCCAGCATACCTTTGTTTTCAAGGCATATGTTCAGTATAATGAAGATAACGTTGAGAGGGACATTCAGACCGAAGAGGCTGAGGTGCGGGAGGTGTGGATCCAGCACCTGGGAGAAGGCGCTGCCATATTGGGGGTAAACAACTCTGTGCTCTGGCGGATTAACCCATATCATTTTGAAAAATAAAACAGTGGGAGTCTGCTCTATGAAACATAACAACATCGCCGTAGTGATTAAAACAGTGTGGTGTTAATACAGGCAGAGACGTTAAGTGGTACAGCATGCAAAGCATGTGTGTATTTTTATTAAATGTGCACACACACACACCAATATGTGTGAATTTGGTTTGTGAATAAAGGTGGCATTTTGAGCCCCGTGGAAAAAGGATGGTGCATGATCTATGGTCATCAAATTTATAATCCCTCTACATTATGCAAAAAAAAATAAATGCCAGAGTATTTGATGAGATAATCATAAAAATATTAAAAATGGAAAAATATGACAGGATATTTTTTATTGCTCTGGAGTATAAAGGGCTCTCCTAAGCAACCCCCAAGCCTGGAAGCCATAATGGGGAGGACTCATGGCAGGAATTTAGAGTTCTCACGTGAAAGGGTATCACCTCTCAAACCGAAAGATGAGTTGTGGAAAAGTTACATTGGATGACCTTGTATGGAGCATATCTTAGTGTGTGAATCTGTTTGCCTAGACAATGCCTGTTTGCTGAGGTTCCAGACTTGTCACGTTGTCTTATGGAAAAGTGGGAGGCAAGAGGCAACAGGCGTTTGGGGGCGGATGAGGAAGTACCATGATTTGTATCCAATGAGTCGACATGTTTGCCATAGAAACACAACGCATCTGTCAGTCCTTGGAAAGCGTTTGCTTCCCAAAAGCTATGAAAAGCTGAGATTAATCTCATGGATGGTAATTTAGGTTCACAAAGTCAAAAAAAATCAGTCCAACAGCGAAGGCTGTCTGTGGTCTAGCATTTTTTTTTTGTGTGTGTGTGTGTTTTAATTGCTGTTGTCCTTTATCCATTTGATTCAATTATTTGGTGCAGGTTGATGTGACTTCTGGGATCCTTCACACGTGATCTCATCCCTTTCTCTCTCATGTCCTCTTTGCTGGTGGCCTGTCAGGTTCTGTATTCAGCCTTATTGAACTGGGCCCGCCACCTCTTATAATTGCCCCTGCTGAAACACAGTTGTCTCATTGCACTGAGGCTTCCTGTTTATGCTACTGTCACCCTTCTAGACATGGGCTCCTTCAGGGCAGAGACAGGCTAGGACTCAGCGTATTGCTAGTGTCACACACAATGCCTGGCTCATTGAAAGGATACAGCACGTATTTGGAATCGATGAATGATTAAATGAACAGATGAATGCAAAGAGGATAGACATACATATATATATTTATAATACATTGGGGGAAATGATACAGTGGTTCCATACCACATGCGCCATACCACAGAAACTGAAGTGACTTACTTCTGCAAGAGTTGGGAAAGGTGTCACGGTGTCAGTGGCCCCGAATTGGATCCTGCAGGATGACTAGGAGGTTTTCATGTAAAGACAGGCATTTGCAGAATTACTGAGCAGAGAGAGATATCAAGCATGGCTGCTATATGAGAAAGACAGTGGTAAGATGTAGTCGATGGGGTTGGGGCCCCTTTGAAAATGCTTCCTAGAACATGGGAAGGAGTTGGACTTAAGGCAAAATGAGAGGCTCTTGGAAGCTTTTAAATGATAGCTACATGAAAACCTGCTCTCAGGAACAGGGAGGATGCTTCCAGCCCTGCCTACGGACTCTCCTGCCTCCGCCCCTCCTTTAATGCTTATTCCACGCTGACAGCCACGTGGGCCTAGAATGAAGCCGATCGTTGCTGGTTCAAAAGTGTTCTGGAAACAAGGTGCATGGATTCTAGAATGATCACTGTAGCCAGTCTGAAGGGATGGTTTAGATCATGAAGGTTTAATAGCTTTGATTAGGTAAACTGATGACCTCATATGTTTGCTCAACCTTCAAACCAGTTGTTTCTGTTCAGGGATGACTTTGTTGCGATGCTTGTTTTTTTTTTTTTGACCAATGAAATTCAAGTATGTTTAGCATCACTTCAATGTCAGGTCATACATTGCAAAGAAAAAGGCATTGAAAACACGATGTGCATTGTCAAAATATTGTAGGAAAACAGCACAAAGCAACTTAAAGTCACGTTTAGCTTAATCGGGTTTTGATCTTCTGAATGCGATTGTCCCATGCCAGATTGCTTCATGACATGCAAGTCATGTGCGAGGCTTTTCCGCCAAAGATCTGGTGTGCCGAAGCACCTTCAGAAGAGCTGACATTGAACTGTACCAGACTTTTACAGACCTCTTCAGAGTCCAACTGGCCAAATTTGCTAGTTATAAATAAAGTTTTTATTGTGACTAGATAATGTAGCTCTATTTTGGGTGTATAATGACTAGTTAGTGGAAAATGTTTAGTAACTACATATGAAAGAAAGCCATTTCCTTCTGGGGGAATTCAATCTTTGTATGACTGCTTAGTCATCTTATCAGTAAAAAAAAATCTGTAGTCTATCTGCATGACTGTCTGGCTGACTGCAAGTTTGGGGGGTTCCTGTGAGCCTCCTCTTAGGTTTGATATTGCATTAGAATAACTCACTGAACTCAAGAAAGTGCTATACGTATGACTCATTCTATTGTTAAGGATACAGCTCAGGAACTACAAATGGCTGTTATGTAGGGCAAGGTCTTATAGGGTGGGATAGAGCACAGAGTTTCCATGCATGCCCGTGCCATATCCAGAAGCACCACCCTTGCAGAAAATCAGTTGGTTTCCCAAACCTGGAAGCTATCCAGACCTCATCGTTCTGAGTTATTATCAGTCTCATTATACGGGCACGATTGATTAAATCATTGGCCATTGGTGACTGAACTCAGTCTCCAACCTTCCAAACATCAAGTGGTGGGTTTGATAGTTCCAGTCTTCTAATTACACAGTTCCTCTGGCAGCCAGCTCCATCATGAAGCTGTTTGGGTGACACTGAGAGTCACCTCATTAGCATTAACTCAGGTATGGTTAAAAAGGACTTGTTATGAATAAGACATTCCTGTCGCTCAGGGAGTTCCAGGGTTTTAGGAACTCTGTGGCAAGAATGGGGATAAAGACCAAATATATGTCTTTTTATTTTACCATATACATCACATCCCAAAGTTTGCTTCTGCCTCTTTGTAAGCAAACACTATGTGTTCTCTCTCCCTCTCCCTCCCTCTCTCTCTCTCTCTCTCTCTCTCTCTCTTGATCTGGCTTCTTTTACTCAAAATTATTATTTTGAAATCCATTCAGTAACTTGGATGAGATACAAATTCCTTAATAGACAAGTTACTGAAATGAACTCGAGAAGAAATGGAAAACATGAATAGCCCTGTATCTATGTAGAAAATGGAATTTATAATTTAAAACCTTCCCACAGAGAAAATTCTAGGCAGAGATGGTTTTACCTAATTAGTTCTATTAGACATTTAAGGAAGAATTAATACTGTTTTACACCAACTCTTTCAGAAAATAAGGGAGAAAGAAATAATATCTCATTTTATGAATTATACTGTAACCCAAACCAGCGAAAGCTATTATAAGAAAAGAACAAGAATTCTATATTGAAAGCTACAAAGTATTGATAAGAGAAAAATTAAAGAAGACCTAGTTAAGTGGAAATGTATGTCGTATTTATGGGTTGTTATATTAATATTGTTATCATATTAAGAGGTTAAATCCCCCCAAGTTGATCTGTAGATTCAAGACAATCCTAATCAAAGCCCTAGAAAGCTTTTTTTGGGGAAGACATTTCCAAGTTGATTAACAAAATATTATATGGAAATAAAAAGAACCTAGGATAGCCAAAAAAAACCCCCCCAAAACACAAAACCCCAAAATAAAAGCAATAAAACAAAGTTGGAGGACTTGGATTACCCGATTTCAAGACTTGCTACAAACTGATAGAAATCAAGACAGTATAGAGTTTGTGTAAGGACAGACCTACAGACCAGTGTAACAGGATGGTCCAAAGATAGACCTGCACATAGTGTTGAATCGTAAAGATGCCAAAGTAGTTCAATGGAGAAAGGATATATTTTTTTCAACAAGTAATACTGGAACAATTAGGTATTATAAGGAAAAAGAACCTTAATTCTTACTTTGCATCATACACAAAAATTAACCTGAAATGGATCTTAGACCTAAACATAAAAGCTAAAACTTTCAAATTTTTAAAGGAAAATACTAGGTTAAAAGATTTCTTAGCACAGACTCTACCAAAGAAATAATAAATGGGAACTCATCAGCCAAACACTTCTGCACTTACAACTTCATGAAGAAAATGAAGACAAGGTGTGGACAGGGAGAAAAATTATCATCAGATACTCTGACATGGGACTTATTTCCAGGTTATATAAATAAATTTTACAACTGAGTAATAAGACAAACAACTCAATTAAAAGATAGGCAAAAAAGTTCACTATACACCTCACAAAAGAAGATACACTCTTTCCAATAATCATGTCCAAATATGCTCCACATCACCATATCATTATTCATTAGGGAAATGCAATTAAAATAAAATGTCTCTACAGACCCATCAGAGTGGCTACAATTAAAAAGACTTGAGAACTCAAGTGTTGGCAGGGAGTGTGGAGCAACTGGAACTTCATCTATTGTTGTAATGTAACATCATACAACCAGTTTGGAATGTAGTTCAGCAGTTTTTCATAATGTTAAGTGTAATTCACCATATGACCAACAATTTCACTTCTAGATGTTTACCCATGAAAAATGAAAAAACATGCCCATTAAAAGACTTAAACACAAATATTTGAAGTGGCTTTTTTTGTAATAACCCCAAACAGGAAACAACCCAAATGTCTATCAACAGATGAGTGGGTAAACAAATATGGTGGAATATTCATACGATGATATACTGCTTGGCAATAAAAGGGACTAAATTCTTACGCACACAACAATACGGCTGAAGCTTGCTTATGCTGAGTGAAAGAAGCCAGACACAAAAGACAACATATTGTATGATTCATTTACATAAAATTCTAGAAGTCAAGCAAGTAATGTATGTTAACAGGAAGGAGATCAGTAGTTGCCTGGGTCCTAGAATATGGAGGTTGATTGCAGAGGGGCACCTTTTTGGGTGATGAAAGTATTCTACTCTGTCTTGATTAGGGTAGTGGTTATATGTGAAAAACTCATTCACAGTACACATAAGATATGCATTTAATCTTATATAAATTATACCTCTGTTGTTTTAAGAATTAAAGAAAAAAGGTGGGGGTAATGCCAGTTGATGGTTGATTTAATATAATTATCCATTCACATAATCACTTTGGTTCACTTATTGTATAATGTTCATTTCCCTGTTTTTCTGCCTTACGGCTTCTCTTATCTATCAGAGTTCCATGTGTGTGTGGGTCAGCTTATGTGTTCTCTGTTCTATTTCATTGATCAACTTATTTTATCCTATCTTAATAATTTTACCTTCATAATAAGCCAGCCCTATTATCATTATTCCCTTTCTTTAGAAATGTTCTTGCTATTCTTGATCTTGTGTTGTTTTGTATACATTTTATAAAAACTTACCTGTTTCTGTGTTCTATGAGAGATCCTGTGGAATATTGATGGAGATGGTGTTGATTTTATAGATAAATTTGGGTAGGCTTTGAATTTTTGCAATATTAAATCTTTCTGTTCATAACTGTGGTGTATCTTTCTATTCATCAAGACCTTCAATGTCACTCAATACAATTTGTAATTTTCCTGTAAAACTCCTACAGGTATTTTGAAAGATTTATTTCAAGACATTTCTGTCTTATTTTATCATAAGTGAAATCATCCTTCAAATTATGTTTTCTCATGGTTCACTGTTGATTTATAGAAATGTGATTGTTTTAAATGTTGACCATATATCCAGTGAACATTTGCTTTTGTTTTAGAAAGAAGCCCACTCATTGATTAGCAGAATTTGTCCCAGGTGTGTGCATGCTCATGTGTCTTTTGGAAATTGGTGGTGTTGAGGATGAGCTTTCCTGAAGTCCTTAAGTTATTTTTTGTAGTCAAGTCTGTACATGAAAGGTTGGCCCTGAGTCACCAGCTGGAACCGTGGTGTCCCCAGCTTTAAGTCTGGTCAGCCATTCATGCAGTCCTGGATGTCAATATCCTTGAGTTGAGACATCCATGTATTTTTCACTCGAGTGGTGGTTAACTCATGATGCAGGCTGTACTTGTTAAAAACATGTCACTCTTCTCTTTCAGTATCCGGAGTGTGATGCAGAAGTATCTTGAGGAGAGAAATGAAATAACCTTCGACAAGATTTTTAATCAGAAAATTGGTGAGTCCTGCTTGTTCAACTGGCGTACTTTAATGTTGATAAGGGTATCGGGTGACCTGACAGTGAGGTATAAAGGCAGCCCTGGTGCTTTATGTGTGTTACAGCTTAAGATGGGATTGAAGGAAATTTCATGTCATTGATAAGATACTTAATGATTACTTAAACTCCCGGTAGTACATCTTGTGAATAAACTGTTGGGAACCAGACTTGTTTGACTCTAGGTTTGCAGGCAGCTTGGGGGTTGCCAACATCGAAGGATCGGGTAGTTGGCAGCCAGGAAGAAGAAGCTCTCTCTGGACCTGCTTCTGAGGTCCTCGGCCTCCTGCCCTGCTGCTGTCCTGCCTGTGGTCAAAGGGAGTCAGCATGCATTCCTCGTGAACATTAGCCCGCTCTTGGGGCTCGCTGTCTCCTTCCGGAGGGTGGGGCTGGCTGGCTCGAGCTCATCAGTTCCCATGGGTTGTGGGTCTGTACGCTTCTTATTTTTTTTTTTTTTTCAACGTGGATGAATAAACACAAGTTTAATTTCAAAATACTTTTGCTTAATGACAATATTAGCTATCTTAGCATATCTAATAGAATCTTAAACACCACATTGTTTTGCTTCTTTGACTTTATTTTTAAACAAAATGCCTTTAATCTTTTATTTTAATAATCAAGTCTAGATTCTTTTTGTAGTAGGCAGCCTCTAAAATGAGTCCCAGTGATCTCTGCCTCCCGGTATTTAGGTCCTGTGTTTTCCCACTCCACTGGGCTTACTGGTTTGTTTCTAATAAACTGAATATAGCATAAGTGATAGGTCATCATTTCCAAGGTAGGTGTAAAAAGGCGGACATTTTGCATTTTATGTCTCACTCTCTGAGGGATGCCAGCTACCGTGTCATAAAGTAGGCCTTTGAAGAGGCTCATGTGACTGAGCTTGGAAAAGAGATTTCTGAGGTCTGTCAATACCACATGACTGCGTTTGGGAGTAAACCCTCTCCCTGTTGAACCTCGAGATTACTACAGACCTAGCTGACACCCGCTAAGCTGCTCCTAAGATTTCTGACCCACAGAACTGTGCTGTTTTCATCTGTGAAGTTCCAGGACAGTCAATCATGTAGCAACAGAAAACTAATACTCTCCCTGGAGGCACTGCTGTTCTCATTTGGGTCATTTCCAATTTATGCACATGAACAGATAATGTACGCTGCTTATTTTTGTCAGTTCCACCATTACTCTTATTTCTGTGGCTCCGATCACTCTACTTAGCAGGTCACCAGGGCTCCCCCTGATGTGTTCACGGAAGTCAAGGACCCATCTCTCCCTGGTCGAGACCCAAGTCTGTTCATTTGGCCTGTGCAGACGTGTGGCTGTGTAGGAGTGCTCCATGGTTACCAGCACCTAGTGCCTTGAGAAACTAGGACTGAGCAGGAATTGCTTTAGGGTGGGGCTTCAAGGCCCGTGAAGAAGTGAGATACGATGTTCTCACCTGCTTACCTGAAAGGCTGGTGGCTTGCTTCGGGGTGACTCTCCTCTGGGTCAGATAAGAGTTACAGTCTTCACAGCTTTTTTTTTTCTATTCTCCAAAATCAGTTGCTGTTTTATTCTCAACTAGGATAGGATTTATCATTTGGCCTATGGGCTAGCTATTTGCTAATCCGCCCATAGTAATGTGATAAACAGATAATCTAATTTTCGCATGAACTCCCCATAGCCGAGCCTAAGAGAATGAAGCTCTTTTCCTTTCTTTGCTACCCTGCTTGCCTCTCACAGTTACTCAGATATGGTTTGCTGGGCAACTGTGTCTTGGTTTTTAAATGGTTTTTATACTAAAGGAAATTACATTATTAAAATTATAAGAAATTAAGGTCTTACCAAAGTTCCCCAGAATTGTTACTGCGTTTAGTTCTGTTCCCATGACTCTTAGGCACAGACAGACTGATCCCTTTGTGACTGACTATTCCTAGAGATGATTTGGGGCTGCCCTCTGTTTACAGGTAAGGAGATGTAGACCCAGGTCAGTGAAGTGACTTGCTCTCCTTTTCTGAGACTGTTGGAAAGGAAACAATGAATATAACATTTACTGTAAAAGGTCATCTGGTAAGAACTGGATAGATTTTTTTTTTTAGAAAGAGTGAATGATGCTCTGTTGTTCAAGCAGAAACCAGTACAGAAAAATCTTTGAATTTTTGTAAACTATTTATCTAGTCTATAAAGATTAGCCACCTATGAAGGCAGTGTTCACTCAATATAGCTTCTGCGGTAACCCGTGAAGTTTAGTGCCCCAAGGGTGGGTGACGAGCTCTGAGAGACATCTGATATGTGGCCCCTCTGTGCTCTGAGGACAAGGTGTGGAGAACTAATGGCTGCTGGCCACATAGAAATATTTCATTCTGGTTATCGGGGTTTGTGTGGGGAACAGAACAGCAGGTGGGCCATGGCCGGAGCAAATCTGCCCAACTCACTAGGTCTTCTGTCTTCCTGTCTCTTCCTAGCACCCTCCTTCTCCCCTTCCTCTTTCCCACCTACTCAGTCAGCCCCTTTCCATGACTTCCTGCATGTGTTACTGCCTCGTCGATTTCTGTGTCAACACCTTGTCACTTTCTGTGGTTCTCTGGTTTTTCATCTCTAAAAAGTAGTTTTCCTATACAACAACCTTAATCTTTCTTTCAACCAATAAAAAAGGTAAATCTATGTTCAAATTTTTCTGATTAACCTAAAAGTGCCCTTTTAACCCTTTGTTTGTTCGAATCAGGATCCAAATACTGTTCTTGTATTGCAAACCCCGAACACACACACATACACACACACACACACACACACACACACACGATCCAAATACTGTTCTTGTATTGCAAACCCCGAAACACACACACACACACACACACACACACACTCTCTCTCTCTCTCTCTCTTTACTTACCGAAGAAATGAGAACAGGTTTATTGTAGAATGTTCCACATTTTGGACTTTTCTGCTTGCTTCCTTATGACATCGTTTAAATTGCAATTTGAATGGGACTTTTTTGGCAAGAGCACCTCACAGGTGGTGCTGTGTACTGTGTCGCAGAGCACATGACACATAGGTGTCCCTCTAAAGTGGGCTCAGCTCTCAAGGCCCTCATTAGGCTGTTACCTGTCTTGTTTCATTTTCATTGATGATGTTGTCTAAATCTGTTGTTTTATTAGGGAGTTGCAAAATGGTGAGTTTTCTTATTATGCCATTCCTTCCACATTTATTGCTTTTACTCATCAACTAGAGCTATTTAGTTGCCTTTAAATACAGTTCTTGTAGGAAAGGCAGGTGTGGTTTGTAGACTGCTAATGTGACCCCCATGACTTCTGCCTCCCAGTGTTACTCCTGTGAGTAACCCGGCTGAAAAAGATTTGCAGATGTCTTAATCTCATACCAGTCATTTAAAAACAGAGAATTTCCTCAAACTGGCAGCAGCAGGGGAAGTCACAGAGCTTGCAGCACAGGAAACATTGGACACGCTGTTGCCAGCTTTGCAAATGGAGGGGGCCACATGCTGCTCTGTGGAGGTGAGCATGAGCCCTCCCTGCCAGGCAGCAGGGAAACAGAGACCTCAGTCCTACAACCCTAGGAGCTAAATTCTGCCAACAACCTGAATGAGTTTGGAAGCAGATTGCTCCCCAGAGCCACTAGATAAAAAGCCAGGTTGTCAACACCTATTGGCCTTGTGGGTTCCTAAGCAGAAAACCCAGCAGAGCCCCCCAGGACTTCTGGCCTACAGAACTGTGAACTAATAAATGAGTGGTGTTTTGAAGTCCCTGAGTTTGTGGTGATTTGTTATACAGCAATAGAAAACTCATACAGCAGGATAAATGTTTAGTTCTTTGTTTTTAATTGCCAATTTTCAAAATAAAAAAGATTAAATGGCAGCTGCTTGTATCCTCTATCACATTCTTATACAGAAATGAATGTCTTTTTGGGTGTCATTTAAGTTGATTTCCTAATTTGCTGTCAGTAAAACTTAACGCATGTAGATTTCGACAGTGTTCTTGGTTTGGTCTCATTGAGAGGATCGTTTGAAAGGGATACTGGTTATTGAATAGACAAAGTCAACTTGTCAGTTATGGTTAAGAAGATTTTGTTGCTGTTTTCTTCTGTAAGATATACTGAAATAATAATTTCATCATATGTCAGGAAGGCACATGGCATTTGACAAATGCCATTTGTATGTCGACAATCTACTTAGCTTCTCTTTCTGCATACCCACGCAGATTAGAGACGGATGTTTCTGATTATAAGGAGACTCTAAAATAGATACTTAATTCATGAAGTATGCAAATGTTACTCTCATGTATAAAGAACATAATGGCTAATGTAATATTACATCACATACTGCCATGGAACACATTTCATTTCCTAACACTGACTTCAGAGCTTAACCCAGAGTTTGAATATTAATCTTTTTGAATTCGTGCGTGAAATAATGTTGGTGACTGGAACATGATTTTTGGTCAAAAGGAAACAAAACTTCACAATTTTTCCTTTTTCAGAAACAGCTTTATTGAGGTGTGGTATTGCATGCCATAAAATTCACCCATTGTGTTTGATGAGTTTTAGTACATTTTCAGAGTTTGTGCAATCATTACCACAGTCCAGTTTTAAAACATTTCCATTCCTGAGAGAGACCTCTTGTGCCCATTTGTAGTCACTCCTGTTGTCAGCCCCAGGCAACCATTAATCTGCTTTCTGTCTCTATAGTTTTGCCTTTTTTGAACATTACATATGGGAGGAATCTTACTCTATGTAGACTAGTCTTTTGCATCTGGCTTCTTTCATTTAGTGTAAGATTTTGGAGGTTCATCTAGGTTGTGTGTACCAGTCTTTCAACCACTTTTGCTGCTGAATAATATCCCATTATATGTGGGTAGACCGTGTTTTGTTTATCTGTTAATCAATTGATGGACAGTTGGATTATTCCCATTTTTTGTCACAAGTGATGCTGCTGAGAACATTTGTGTACAAGTATGGGCATATGTTAGCATTTATCT